TATTACCTTTTTAATGTAAACAGAAAAAATAAATAATATAAATAAAATAATATAAAATTAAAATAAACAAAGGCTTAACAGACTCCGCTGAAAATCAACTTGACAGCTATTTGCAGGGAAAGAAATAATTTATTTCAGAAACCTAAACAAAGCACTAGTATGATAATTGTATGTAAAGTGTATATGTATTTATGTATGTAATATTCAAAGAAAATGAATGAAAATTTAAAATATTATTAATTCCGTGCTAATCGAACTGCTTTACGCACAAACGCATTGTTAAAAATAATACTGTAAACAAGTCCTCTGGCTTGCTTGTGTAGGATTCAGCGTTAAAGTTCAAATGAATTTTAAGGTAATTTTAATGGACAATTTGCAAGGATCAATTAAGATATTACTACGCTACCTGAAACTGTTATTTAAACTCTTAAAAATGCCTATTTAAAGTTTAGCAATAAAGAAATGCAATTTTTTTCTTTAGCTTTTCTTGAGATACATATGAACACTTGTGTGTTGTTTGCAAATCAAAAAATTAAAAAAACAAAAAAAAAGATTATAATCATATACACACAAACACCCACACATATACAAATATAATATAATAATATATACACAAATATACAAATATATATATATATATATATATATATATATATATGTATCTCTACCACGCCGGCTACGATTCCAACGAGATTGCCATTAGTAGCTTTTGCCGTTTATAAACAACATTTTGTGCCAACAGTTTGTTTTCCCAACAACAGTCAGGATATGTCGACACTAAGGTACAGATTCCTTATAGGGTCTTCTGCACATGGCATGAAGCCTTAACCAGACGGGCTGCCTACATCTATCGGCAATTAAGAAGTTCCATTGCGGACCCGCCAGAGAGTATCACCATTCCCATTACCCTAATGTACCGAATTAGAAATTGGATGTGGACCATTTTCTCGCCCACTGGTTTACCATTTGGGTGATCTCTTACTGTCCGCGGCCATAACCACTCTTGCCTTCAATCCTCCACATGTCCCAATAGGCCCTCCAAGCACTATCCTTTCTCGAGGAAATAATGCTTCCAAAGTTTCCAAGGCACACCACACATCCGGCTAAGCCCTAGCCCTCTTAAATATCGCTCTCATGCGGTTTGATGAGCTCCATAAAAGAGAACCAAAAGGGAGAAGAAAAATGCTCCCTTTTCAATACAAAAGAGAACTCTCTTCCAACGCACCTCTTAAAGTTTCCAAGATAAAAACCCGTCGCCGAATTATAGATAGCAAGCCTTAAACTCTTTTCTGCCATTGACTATACGCCTCTCAAAAGCGAAAGCCTTAAAAGTAACAGTCAATGTTTATAGGGAGCACCACGACACGATGAGGGTTTCGGCACATCTATGTTCACCCTTTGGGGATCCCATGATACCGCTCCGGTATAATTAAAATTTCTAGGATTAAGGACTATTTTTTAATATTTTATTTATTTACTTTTTTTTTGTGTGATTATGTAATATAAACAGGCGCCATCTAGAATAACACCTGTGTGATGTAAAACACTGGATAAAACATGTCAAATGTCTATGTAAGCATACAAAATTAATAAAAGTGTAACTAAAATAAGTAAAATTAGATAAAGATAAATATAGTAAAATACAACATATTTTTCTTAATAATAAAAAATTTCTTCCCATTTATTGACACAAAAATTTTCTTTAAAATTTGTTAAAGTACTTAGCGAACATAGAATGAAGAGTTTTTTAAATCTTCAAAATAAACCATGAAAAGAAAATAAATTATATTTGCTGCATACATACCTGGTATTTAGCCCATACATAAATACTTACACGCGCATGTTCACTTAAAAGATTCACAGGTTTGTATATGTTTCTGCTTTGCAAGCATTTGAGGAAATGCGAAGTCAAGAAACTTTTAACAGGATCCGGCTCATACAAATAATGAGAATGAAAGCGCAAACATACAAATGGATGCTAAACTGCTGCGTTACTGCTGATATTGATAACGGATACACAAAATCCTTAAGATTCTCCTAATGTGAATTTTGAACAAAATGATGAAAAATCGATCTATTTCCTTGTCTGAAATAAAACGCAAAGTATGAGTAGAAAATCACTACAAATACGAGCTAGTCTCAATGTGTTGTCTATACATTCTCTACGCATTTACTATATATTGTCTACGTCGAATAAATAATATAAAGAAAATGAGGATAGATACCGTTTCTAGTCCGAAGGTCTGTAGTATAATTTTACTCCTTTCCCTATGGAGAGTTAGTAGACTTGTCCCTTCGTTTTCAAAGAAACAGAACAGCTCTATTATGTCTCTGCTTGTTAAGAAAAATAACTTTAATGTCTTTTTAATTTCACGTCTGGTACTCTACAATCTTAAGGGCTTTGTAAATGAACTTCTGCGACAGCATAAGAGAAGATGGAGGACTAGAAATTTTCGTTCACCTAATATTGTTTATACAAGGTACGCTGGAGAAACTTTGTGAAACGGAATGACATTTAATATTTAAGAATGGCGTTTGAATACTCATTGACTTACGTGTATACTTTAATGATTTTTAAAAGAGGCAAACTTAAAAAATATAAGTAAAACAAATTTCTAAGTATGACGGGTTATATGGTATCCTGTAAATAATAGGGAATTGTTTTGCTAAGTTCTAAAAACAGAACTATATGACAAAAAATTTTGGGAGCTCTAATAGTGTAACGATGGATTTTTAAAATTGTCGCCATATAACTCCAACCCTGAGAACTTTCAATTCGCTCACGACGGCTTTAAATAAAATCAAATCAATCGAGATAACCTTAATCCTTAAGGGTATCAAAACACCCTGTATATGCATACACGTATATATATATATATATAAATGTATTCTGTAGCCCTCCCCTTAGCAAATGCATTAACCAATAGTAAACTGTATCATCTTTAGTGATGGCTGCGTATTCCTAAAACACTAAGGGCGGCAAAATAATCCTTTTACTACTCAACAATTAAAAGCTGTGTGAATTCGCATTGGAATCTTTTTTTTCATGACCGTTCTCCGTAGCTATAAAAGCCAGAGTATTCTCAAGGGATGCTGTTATTTGTGATAAAATCCTATTAGAATGCGGTTAATGCGGTGATTTCCTGTATTAGTAATAAAAGACAATAAAATTCAGTTAAATATACTTTAACTCATACGCGCTTATTTAAACATAGTTACAGTGTATAAGTGCAATAATTATGTCGCGTAATCAATTGCCCGATTCGTCATCATCTCCACCTTTAAGGTTTGTGTAAAAGAAAAAGTGCGTGATTAGAAGAAGTATGTGATTATTGAATGACTACTATAAAATATGAATAATAAGTCAACAGGCGAAAAATATATATAAACCATACTATCGTAATATCTAATATATACGTCGATGGTTAACAATTTCATTCCAGCGATTATAGCAGAACTCACGAAGCTGTTATTCAGTTTCTCATACGTTCTATATAAAGTACTAATTGATTCATTCCCAAATATTTTCAAACCATATGCCATTGATATGGGTAAAAAGGATATTAAGTTTAAGCGGATATTCGCAACGATCAGAAAAAAGATCAAATATTCGTCTTTTTAATGTACTTCCGTGCTTTGGCGTTCAACTTATATATTGTGCATGTCAGGCTTTTGTTGTATATATGCTAAAAGGTGTCAATCACACGCAGTGATCTTCGTGTCTTCAAAGAAAACATAACTCATCACTGAGCAAAAATCGTCATAAAAATCAGATAGTTCTAGAAAATATCTAAATATAAAATAAAGTCAGTATTACATTGTGCTTATAGCTCTTCAAACACGTGCACGTTTTTGTACGAAAACTTTATGAAAAATTTTAAGAGAAAAAACTACTTCAATGTCAACAAAAATTGTAGTATTCAATTTAGCTTAATATTTATGAAGCGCGTGATGAGTTATTAGGTGCATTCTAAAGTCAACACACATATCAAAATAGTGCAACCTTCGAAGGTGCATACAAGTCAGACATGTAGAAGCCGAGCTCTTAGCTTGTTAGTAACACTGTACTTGTTTCATAGACTTAGAAATAGTGTAAAAAGAAGGAAAGTTTGAAACTTGCCAATAGACATCAGCTGAACGAAACAAGTTTATGGTGATGAGTATAGTTTCCGCGTAGCCGAGTGCAGGCGCGATATACACGCTCGAAGAATATCGACCAAGATATTTGACAGTTGAGATGCGCAATAAGAGAAAATGCGTGAATTGATCAAAATCAACGAAAATCGAAAGTATCACTTTCTTAGATTTTGGCCCTAGAAAAGTGTTTGTCCCGCACAAACTGGTTAGGAATGAAAAATTGCACAGAAAAGTCACATTTTTAATCAATATTTAAGCCAAAAGTCGCATTAATCGTCTTACATGACCCAATCAGCACCATTTGTTTTCATTGTATTCAAAAAAGATATTTACCAATAAAAGAAAACGGTAATGCCCGCAAACTGGCAACACAAAATCTTTGCCAAAACACTGGTCCCTCGACGTTAAAGAACTCAAGCTGCGAGCAATAAGTGGCGCTATTAGAACTTGCTATTTCGAAAACTTTCTATTTCTTTACTATTTAGAACGTATCGTATACATTTTCACATAAATTTTTAATTTCTCTTAAACTATCATTGTAATCATTAACCGCACATCAATAGTGGAGAAAGGACCTACTTTCGAATGATGATGAACATCCGTTTGCTTTTGGATCATCCAAGCTGAGTAGCTAGGTATAGCTTCAGTTTTTATTTCTATTTTCAACTTTCGCTGTCATCCTAAAAAAATGTAAAACCGTATTTTTCTGAAAAATTTAATATGAATTAAAATTAGAAAAATTTTCTGAAATTAAATCCTTACCTATTTTTATTTTGAAAATGATTACTTTCGCCTTTCAGATTTTGTGTAGTTTAAACAACTAAGTTTGGATTTATTTATTATTTATTATTTTTTATTTTATTCTTAAATATTTACCATATAGGTTTTCTTCAGTCTAACCAAACAAAACTAGAATCTGGTTCCGTAAAACGAGAAGGCGTAGTTGTTGAAGAATCATTATTCTTACCTTTGTAAGGATCTTTAAACGCATTTGTCTCATTTCTTTCCGTAATTTGTATAGTTTTGCTATTCCTCCTGAAAATACTCCCTACACTTTTTTTACGCAACTCACTTGTTCTCTCAGTTTGATTCAAATAGATTTGCCACTGCTGTAGCTTGTCATCAGCAGCCCGTAATTGAGCTAATGATTTCTCGTGACCCGGATTTAAGCCAATTGGTTGTATTCCAGCTATTTTGTCCAGATCGATTTTAATAGGTGCTAGCGCTGATATTGCTCGGGACAGGCCAATTTGTGAATGTCGTATACGATGTTCCATCAAATCGGCACCCAATAATTCTTCATTGGCATCCATGCGTATAGGTACAATTTTATTTACAAAATACAGTAGTAGTAACGTTGAACCTATGCCCCAACACGTAAGGCAGAAAGCCGATAAAGTTTGTATGGCCAGGAGATACCAATCACCTCCTTTAAAAAGGCCGGAACGTCCATTAGTAGTGTCCAAGGGTACCGGATTGTCGGCAAAAAGACCGACGGCAATAACTCCCTGAAAAGTATATCGTGTTTAGTGAAACCAAGTGAATACCGGACTCACTTACCCAAACACCGCATATGCCATGGACTGAACTCGCTCCAACGGGATCATCGACGTGTAAACGGTCAAACAGCGGCATAGTTAAAACGCACAAGAGAGCACCGATTGAGCCAATTACTAAAGCCTCCCAAGCTCTGTATAAAAAACATCCAGCTGTTATAGAGACTAAAGAGCCTAATATGCCATTAATCAAGTCCATAATGTCCATTCGACCGTTAAGACGCCAGAGAGAGTAACTAAAACGTTACAAACAATAAAAAGCACGAAAGTTGCCACCACTTCAAGGTAGTACACGAAAATGCCGAAGTACTTCGGCAGCATTAAACATTTTCATAACACTACGAAATATGTTTGCATCTACTATAAGATAAAATTTCTGCTTATAGTGACTTAGAGACTAATCAAACCCAATCTTCGCATAGAATTTTTAAATGATCAGGTGTCAACTGTCAGATGGACAGGTACAAGTAAATAAGTATTGTATTGTCTATTGTCGTTTTATAATTTTCACCCACGGCCATCAGTTAAAGCTTTAACTTTCCTTATTTGTGTTGGCGATGATTAACGGATAAGCAGACGCAGAAGGCAGTTATGATAGACATGGTTTCTACGGATAATTAGGAATAAATATCCCTTAACGCCTTTTGCGCATTTTATAAAAGAGAGAATCTATCTGGTATGTACCGATTCCTTAGCGGTGGGCAAAAAAATGACTTAAAGTAATACCCATACATAGGCGGAGAGTTCAAATTTACCCACAACTAATGATACCTCCACCGAAAGATCCCATCATAGTCATGACGGCAGCTCGCGCAGCATATTGCCACTTCGCCCCACTAACACCATAAGTGCTACCGGAATTAAAAGCCAGCCAGCCCCACCATAAAACGAATAGACCCATACAAGCGTTGACTGGATTCCCCAAAGGCAAAGGATCATAACCATCAGAATAGCGTCCTATACGTGGACCCAACATGTAAGCTGAAGCGAAAGCTGCCGTACCGCCTAGATAAAAAACATCATTAGTTAAACTTCCGATTAGAAGGCCTAAGCAATTAAACCGATAAGATGTACAGGACCACTGCCAGCAATATCTACGGCACCCAGTTGATTTAGAAAACCGTGCTCACCCCACACCCAACCGGATGGTATGCAATAGATAATGGTATTTAAAAAAGAAAATAAACAGTAGGCTTTAAAATTGCATCTGGAACACGAATGTTAAGTTGACATAAACCGTCATGAAAATACATAATATTTTTACCGCTCCGCCATAGCACCACTCACTATTGTAGTGGCCGTTGTAGCAAATGACAATTGGAATAGAAAAGCTGCAAATATTTGACCCATAAGAGGGTCATTGACTGGAGGGTCCAATAAAAAATCCCCAATACCTATAAAAGAATTCGAAAAAGGACCACGTCCATAGCTCATACCATAACCAAAGAGCCAATAGGTAAAACCGCCCAGCACAATATCAATTACATTTTTCATCATAATATTGACTTCATTTTTGAGGGAAACGCAACCAGATTCCAGCATACCGAAGCCTATAATAATGAATTCCTTTGAAGCATGAGTGGTCAAAGAATATATCAATTGTATGCTTAAACTTACCAGTTTGCATTGTGAATATAATGAAAGAAGAAGTCAAGACCCAATTAGTATCTTCCGTACTTAGATCGTATAGACCCGGTATTACATAACTGCTATTACGCGATGTTACTTTTAAACCCAAGAGCAGAGTAGTAGAGTCATTTGTTAGGTCGGATGAGTTCATCGTCATCAATCTATCTATCGATAGAACCTCTCAATACCGAAACCAAGTTGTAAATGGTAAAAATATCAAAACATGTTTAACATTAACTTAATTAATTTAAATAATAATTGTTAGAAACTTGTTAAAACCATGTGAACACTTTGGTAAAACGTGTAAAGTGAAGTGAGCGAGTGCCCTACATTATAAATTTTAGAAAGAAGAAAACGTTCATATATCTTAGAATAACGGCCCGCCGGATAAATTGAGAAGACAGCAATAAAGAAAATTGTTTTCACAACGGCATCCATCGACTTAAAACTTCGCTGAGCTCGTAAATAGTTCTCGTAAATGTGTCTGCACTGACTTTGGCAACAATATCTACTACAAATTGTAAGAAATAAGTTTTTGACGATTGTGGGTCTAATGCTGCAAATTAAGGATTTTCTTGCCAATTTGCAGCTTTCTTTCTCAATTTTTATCCGATCATTGCAAACGCGGATTAACACGGACAGACGGATCGACTAGATTGATTCAAAATCTTTCCGATTTGTACTTCTGGATTTTGCTAACGTTCCCAAAATGATTCTGAATTCGTTGGTGTAATGAAGGATTGAACTATCTCAAGACGCTCTGTGCCTGTCATATGTAACATAAGTATTATTACGTATAAAATAATAATAAATCGGATATAGTGTTTCAATTTAACGCAAAAAAACTTTTTCTTAAAATTAGCTTTAAATTAACCTAATTACGAAAATTAGGAGTACATATGCGACAGTTCTTTAAAAATGTACTGCAAAAACTTTCCGCTTTGCTAACGAAACATTCAGCTCTTCGTATGTGTTACCGTCCGATATCCGTACTAACGGAAAAATCATTTTCTTAATATTCTCAAACGCGTTTCCGATCTCTGACCCTTTTGCAAGCAAATATCTATTTCCTCCCTTAACTAAACATGACAATAAAGAGCTAAAGCTAAATTATTCGTATCTTACCTGGTCAGGTTCACGTATTTACACGCATTGCAAATAAATTGAAACATTTCAACCACTTTCACGTTTCAGTAGCGGCTATAAAAATCAAGGCGAAGGTATTTTTAAGACGCCATTAAAAATTTATTTTCATGAAATTGTTTCATTACATTAATAGATAATTCATTTTAAATCTTTTATTACATACTTTTCATTTTCTATTTAAATTCAATTATTCACAACAATTTTCACTAATTATATGAGTGCACGCATCATGCTCTTTAGATAAAATAACAAGTCTGTCGTATACTGTTTTGTAGACAGTTCATAGTTTAAGTTCTCCATATAATATAGCAAACGCTTAGTAGGAAATTATACATAAGTTTAAAACATAATTAAAAAGAACCAAATTCCTCTAGAGGCATAATGCATTTAGAAGAGAAGGAGAATAGAAACAGGGACCAGTCAATTAAAAACTTAAAGGATTCCAATGAACGAATGATATGAATGCTTAAAAAAGTATTACGGTAGTTTAGACTACTTCTGGTTTGATTCATCGCAAGTGTACACCTTTCATAACGTAAACTAGTTTTGCAAAAAATTTTATTATCAATGCTTGTGAAGCACTTACGGTCTTATTGCAAGTACTAATTTTCCTTCTATTTCTTGCCTTGAAGTCACTAGCAACGACGATAGCTCGGATGGACGCCTTTAAGAGATTTAATACGTTAAGGCAGCTTAATCCAACTCAACGCGCCCAATGACGGCACGAAATGAGAACACCTCTTGCAGTACTAGTTCGAGGATAAAATGTCACTCCTGAGCAGGGAATTGATCTGGTAACCCTTTAATACTCGTAATATCTGGCAAATGACCTTGGGTATTTATCCTGGATACTTGCCCGGTATCTAATGACACCTGTTCACGCCATGTGCACACATTTAGATTACTTAAGTGGCCTTTCCAGGAATTTAACTACACCACAAAACTTTTCGAATTTACTCCGTCCCATTCATTGTGTCCCGATTATATTAATGCAACAGAAACTTTTACGCTTTCGTGATGAAAATTGTAACCATTTATCTAATTTGGGTGACTCCCTTTGCTTACAAGATTGAAAATATTTCCTTTCGTAATAATTATATTAAATACTTATCAGTAATGATTTAATCAGAGTATCAGAAAAGCATACATTGCTACATCGAAACGTAATGGAGGCATTGTCCAAAAGTGCGATTTGCAAGGTTGAGCATTAGAAAAAACATCTCTGAACGATTGCGAGCTTATTGCTTACAAAAAACTCTTATTGGCATATTTTTTTCTTACAGCCATTTATCATTTCACAATTTCGATGATGATGTTATCAATGATTTACCTTCATGCGTGTACAGTGGAGCAAATAGCGTAGGAAATGGAAACGGAAATTTGCGAATGTCAACTAACAACTTCAGGCAACTACAACAACAATATTTACAACACAGCAGCGGTAACATTGAACATAACCTTTTCACTTAAATCTACTTTTAGAGATTTGACATATATCACATTTCAGAAAGCATTTTGGATTCTTCCACTAACATCAATTTAGGTTCTAATGCATCCGGTTTAATATGTGGCAGTTCGAGTACCGTGGCCACTACAACCACTGGCAGCAACAGTCATAGCAATAGTTACAATACATCGCCGTATAAAATTCAAAGGCAACAGGCGAATATACGTGAAAGGAAACGAATCCAGAGGTCGGCACCAACTGGGTATATGAAATGATCTTTTCATACATAAACTCTTGATATTAAATCCGTCTTGCGAGATCACAAAATAATTGAAATCATATCATATATTTTTTATCTTATCCGTATGGTTTTAAAAAACTGCAGTAGCATAAATTCCGCCTTTGATGAATTACGTGTACACGTTCCTACTTTTCCGTATGAGAAACGTTTAAGCAAAATTGATACTTTGCGGTTAGCCATAGCCTATATATCATTACTAAGAGAAGTCTTGCAGACCGACTACGACCCATTGACATATGTCGAGAAATGCTTGCGAGGTGAAATTAAAGCGGAACGAGCTAACTGGAATACAAGTGGTAAACGACGTCACGTAATATTTAATATAAGATTATTCATAAAATTGTCGTTTAGATTTAACAGCTCGTTTATCTTGGATTAATTGGGAAAATCTGGGAGTTCATCCCGGTCGACGAACTTTATTGACTTCATTGGCTTTGTCATCAGAACCGATATGTGGAGCCCATTGTGGCGGCCCCTAAATTATTTTAGATAAAAACTGTTTTTTCTTTTTTTGCAAGAAACGCCAACTAGTCTTCCATTGAGTTTAATTGTATTATTTATTTCGTTTTTGTTTCCATTTATTTTCTTTTTATTTTCTAATCTCCTTTTTCTTCTTGTTATTATTATTCTTTGAATATTTGGTTTATTTAAAGTAACAAATTTTGCAATTGACTTAAAAATAATAACATAAGTAATTGACAGGAGAAAAATAAAATTCGAAAGTTTTTTTAATGTACAATCGTAGCCCGGTTAAAAAATATAAAAATATCTAATAAAAAGTAATTTTTTTTTTTTTTACAAATCGCTTACATACAAAAATAATTAAATTTAATATTAAACAAGATAAAGATAAGCTTTTGTTCTTACACAAATATTAGTACTAGCAAAGCAAAATTGGTATTGAAAGCTCGTTTAACACACATTCAGGTTAAGCTAAGAAAGTCAACAAACGTCCATCGATTTTTTTCATTTTTGGCCATTAGGAAAAATTGCTTACTTATTCGTATACAAGTCTTTTTTCTTGCTATCTCTATATAGGTTAGCTTTGGCTAAAATTCGTTTATTTTTTGTGTCATTATTTTTGATTTTCTCAAAGTTTTATACACTAATATCTAGGTAGCACTTATACATATAAAAATCACACTTACAAATGAGAAAATAAATAATTACAACTATTTTATTAATTAGATTTAAGGAAAACATTTTACTTACGACAATTCCTAGAGTTTGCTTAACTGTGTTTATATACTGAACAAGTGGGTAAGTTAAATTCGTATTGAACTGATTTTTAAACCTTCTGCAAGAGCCATATAAGAATTTACGTTGTTATGAAAAACGTCTAGACCGCCACTAAAAAGGACTTTTGAATAGAAAAGTTGCGAAGGGGACGTTTTGGGGAATCAACACAACGCCTATCGTGCCAAGCAATTATGTAGCAATCATAAAGTTCCTTAAACTTTGAGTAATTAACCCAGTTGGGTCCGTTTCCACGTCGAAATCTTACACTGTGCAAACACTTACACTTACTTACAACTTACAGCCCCGTAAATGTAAATTGTTGGCAATATTCCCATAATATACTTTTGTAAGATCTGATCATAAAAGTGATCTTTACAGAGGCAAAATTGTTTTTCTATCTTGATTTTACAAGCGTTAGAATTCCATTCCGACTCTAAGCCCAATATGTACTTTTTATGAGATTTCTAGTTCTACTTGCCTCAAACGGAGGAAAGAATCTTGTGCATCCCTATCCCCTAAAAATGTTCGGTCGTACAAGAAATTATCGGACCTGCTATTAATGGGCGGAGTAGAATTATATCTTCTTCTAGCTGAACATAATTGAGACGGCAAGGGCTATTACCGAACATTATCTTTTCAAGCTGCTCTGGAACAAACAGACACAATTTGTCAAGCATCCAATATAGTTTTCGCTTGCGCCGTTTTCCTCGCAAAACCCTTCTATCAACGTTTTATTTACGTTGAACCATCTCGAGTCTTTATAGTCGTTTTACAGGAGTTTATAGTTAGGCGACACAGAAAACTTGCCTCCTCTACCCAATACTGTATTTGAATACGCGGGAACATTGCACATTGATTGATTGACTTTCGATGAACGTTTCCTCCACATATGAGATATTGGCTTAGAATTTCGGTATAAACAAATTTTTTTTGGAACCTCAAAATAACTTAAGGAATCCCAACTGCTAACATTAGTAATGGAAGAAAGCATACAGTATTTCAACAACAGCTGTCGTTTTAGATTTAGCGCCTTTTTTTAACTATCAACATGAGCAACAACTGGCAGATAACAAAGTAGAAAAACCATTTTTTAAGTTTTTCTGAGCAATAAGGCTAGTTTTAAGATGTCTATATACGTAAAGAAGCAAGATGTGCGACTTTAAAAAATCGAAAGAAATGACCCAGAGACAGTTTGAAATACATGTGCAATTGCGCCTTGCTTTTTCGGAAATGCTACTGGTTTGACCATAGTAATTAACGGATGCTTGAATCGCTCGACTTCGGAGGGCTTAAACGACCAAGTGGGAATGCCGAATTGCTTATTTCTTTTTATCCTGGAATTTATGCTTTGGATTTAGGCGACGTTTATTTTCTACTGGACGGCGTTACCCTATGCACAGCTGATGCAACAATTATTCTCGTTGATATCTATAAAAAAAAAAAAAATTTTAAAAAAACTGAATTTTTTTCCAAAAATTCCATTTACATGTATGGTAAAGATATGGAAGAGTATAAATATTCATTTCCTTTGGAAACAACTGGTAATATTCAACTATATAACAATATCGTAATGCTTTCTTTCTAAGTATTATTACGTCCTACACATATTTTGCGTAGACCCTCTAGCTCGTTGCGTTTCAAACGCAAATTAAACATACTTTGCAAAAAGGTATGGCAGTTGGTTACAATATCGTCATGTATTAAAGTCTCACGGAAAAAATTCGCCAAAGCTCCGATGTCATCGCAAGCTAAAATGGCCGTCTTGTGCGTTAAAAACATATTTAAAGCAGCCCGAAAAATTATCTGTAAAGAAAAGATAAAACAAATATTTAAAAAGTACGCCATCCGTTGTGAAATGAATTTTAGCTATTTGCTAGTTGAGGTGAATATGTGAAAATAGCATTTTGTTAGGGGCAAGCGCAGTGGACTGATTAATTGATTTTTTAGAACTCCAACAAATATCCTTACGGAGAGCTTTTGATTGTAAATTACGCACAAAACTATTTTGAAAAAGTTTTTGTTGTAGGTTACGTAGGTACGTACGTGTAGTACGTTTTTGAGGAGATTACGTCTACTCGAAAACATAATCTGTTTAAAATCACTGAAAATACGCATCAATTGTCACCTGTCATGAGAATTCCCGCAAGAAAAAAGCGGCCGAAGTAATGAAAATGCTTAAGTTAACTTAAATTGTTACGCCGGTCAAACATATGTTTCCGATTTTTCACATACGTACGTCCTTTTCGTTTGCTTATTTCAGGTAGACACTGTATTTTTAAAGCGGACATTCGAAAGACTCTTACGCAATCACGGGACAAAAACCCTTTAACAAAAATGTTTTGTTAAATTCGGCTTGCGGTCACGACAAATTCCTCTCCCGTATTGTAGGATACAAATTTTCAAGATGTGAATGCGAAGGCTATTTGACAAAGTGATCGTATTTACCTAAATTTAATAAATACTACACGTTCTCAAAAACGCGATTTCTCTCCGATTACTTTACCGTGTATAATTAAAAATGCCTACTGTACAAGCAAGGGTTGAGTGACTGTTCGTCGTGATCATATGAAAAGAAATGGTCACCTACCAGCCAACGTTATTTTTGACTCAATAGGTATTTAGTAGAAAAACATTGCTGCTCTTCGGCAATCCTTACTGGAAGTAATCTTACACTTACAAGTTCTTATTGCATATCGTATGCTAGAGTCTACAATCGTAGCAACCTAGCGTATGTCTCTCGATAAAAAAGTGCCATCTGCAACCCACAAATGATGAAAATATCGCATTAATGAGAAATAAGCCCGCAAATGGAAACTTCTACTAAAATTATATTAATTTGTAATTATTATGAGATTGTTGTTGATTCACGTTTTGTTAACTATATTGAAAACTGTGTTCGTTGAAATCAAATATCGGGTTTTGACAACTGAAACGATTAAACATCTCCGTCTGTCTGTCTATCTGCGTAATACCTGTCACAAACACTCTGCTGATGGCAAAAATGAAAGCTAGCGCCTTCAAAATTGATAAAAGCTGAAAGTTCTTGCACGCAACTTGGTGTAGAGAATGGACCAAACCGAGTATCAATTTGACGTATTATTACTATTAAATTATTAGGTGCAGGAATTTTGTTCTGTAGAATGAAGTAATGTAGTTATAAGATTTGTGTTAATTAACAACGGATACAAAACGGAACATCACCCCTTGTTTTTTACCCATTACGCATTAACTACAACGGTAACACGATAAAAGGTTTCACATATATTCTATAAAGAAGGTAAAAACCAGGCACGCGCAGCTAAACTATAGACGGACGTAATTTAGTTCTTCCGGCTTTTCTTTAGTCTTTAATTAGATTGAGTTAGATATGAGCATTACTGTCTATTAAAAGAATTTTTGTGCTTAACTTACTTTATATCCTTCAGAAAAAACGCAATCCCATAAACGGAATACAGTTTCAGCAGGCAATACTTCAGCGAATATACATATGAACCATTTGCTGGCTATAACAGCATAAGGTAATCCTACAAAATAGGATAGGAGGAGGAGAAGTCAACAAGAAATGCCATTTTTTTAAATGCTTCATAAATATATTACCTAATTTTTCGATGTGCTTGTTGACAGCTGGTATTCTCCTAATTATCAATTCTTTAAATACCGCCATATCTCTTAATAAATTTGCCATATTTTTTGTATGATATTGCGGTGCTATATTCTCTATCATATGTTTCAAAAGCCAAAATGATTTCTCTTCGTCATCAGTTACCAGCAGCAAGAGACCAGCGATATAATTTAAACCTTGACAATAGCCAACCTCACGGTTATGATGAGCGTAGGCTACCAAGATATTATAAAGACGCTCTTTTTTGGAGTCGAAAAATATATTGTCCGGAAATGTTCGAGGTAGATCAATTGATATGGAATCACTGATTTCTTTTTCATGATTTGTTTCTCTCAACAAACTATTGTAGAGACCCGGTGAGCGTTGCTGCAATTTATAAGCACCCGAAATTTGCATCCAAACGTTAGGACGGTAAGGACCTGTATATTAAACAAATATGATAATATTAAAAAATCAAATGATTTTTTAAAATTGTAATAGTATCTCACCTACCTGGAATACCTTTGCGTATATATCGTTTAAGTTTAGCTGTAACAGTTGTGAGATCAATATTTTCTTGTAAAATTCTTTCCCATTTAATGCGACGTTTGGCTAATGTTTTCAAGTAGCTAGACATAAACAATTCATACGATTTGTAATCGAACTGTTCATTACGTTTGAAGCCATATTCGTCAACATCACTAAAAGAAAAAATAAGATAATTTGATTAAATTTTAGTCAAATAAATTTAAATAAGGATTTAAGAAGGATTTCGTGCTAACCGTTGGCAATTGACCAAATATTTGAAAGCTTCTTCTATCGAAGTTAGAAACAACAAAAGAGAAAACTATATACAAATTAACATAAATGTTACACATCTATCACCTAAAACAATAATATACTAATAAACGATTTTCTTAAATCGTGAGCTTTTCATTCGAGTACTGAGGACCATTTACATAAGATATTGCATATTTGTGGGTCAAAATTACGACAACAATTATTCCGAAACTTGAAAAGGCCAAAAACAGATTATAACTTTCTTACTCTCTACAATGGCCTATAAGGTGCGGCTACATAATATAAAAATATGATAACAAAATATATTATACATACTTAGGAGTAGATGATGTATACAACATAATAGCCGTAGCTAACGAAACACTCCTTATTTTTACTAATGTTAATCACGGCATTTACAAATGTTCTTATAATTACCTAAATTTAGAAACAGCTTTACTAGTAGACTCCATCGAAACTTTTTACACTTGTGTGGTATTATCAACAATAATTGATAACGCAACGGCCAAGTTTTATAATTGCTTTGCAATGCACTTACATTTATTGCGGTTATTGCCTCACATAAACCACCAATGCAAATACATAAATATATATGTGTAAGAATAATTTCGGAATTTCCGTTGGTCTAATTTAAGAAAATTTGAATATGATTTATCTGCAAAACATAAAAGAATTCGATTTCCTTTTTATAATCGAGAGCTAATAATTCATTTATTGACTTACCTTCATTAAGTGTTAACTAAAGCGGGTTAAGTTCTGTTGGTAATATTATTCACATCGTTTCTTAAATACTTTATTAGTCATAAAGTGATGATTTTTGTTTCACCTTATAAGAGAAGGTTTCTTTTTCTTTTGTTTTTTTATTTTTGGCCTAGTCGACTTGAATTTGCATTCGTTAGGTGGGAGTATTTATTAAATTTTGAGGGCGTCTTGCGGTTTTTTTTTTATTACACTGCCATTGCTTAGACGCAACAACGACATTTCACTTAATTTATGTTGCTGTTGTGAAAAAATATTGTTTGATATTTAAATATTTTACAAAATTTTGTTTCATAAGTAATCCTTTATGTGATCCTTTCATATTTATTTGCAAGCTATTGTTATAGTAACAAATAAATTTCCAAAACCAACTGCCGCACGTTAAGAGAGCAGTAACACTCATTTCCTAACCCAAATAAGAAATGTCAATGTTTAACTACTTTTCGCAAGAGTATAATACAACAGCAGAGAAACTAAACTAAAACTGAGAGACAAACTGTTAGGGTTGCCAACTTCAAACATTATTATAACACTTACTTGTTGAATTGTACCTTTAAGCCTCAAAAACAAAGCTACAAAGATTAATTGATCCATTCCATTTTCCATTCTTTGCACGAAAACTATCCGTTGCAGTAAGATTCAAAGCTGTTTTTTTTTTGGCATTATATTTTGATCTGTAATTAAATAAATAAATGTATTGCGACATATATATTTACAAAAATGAAAATAAAATCAAGAAAACAACGCGAATTATTTTTGTATTTTATTTTTGAATAAGTTATTATAAATCTTATGATTTGTGCGTTATTTTGCAGAATATGAATAACATTTATTTCAAATTTAAAAATTATTTTTAAAATATTACAAGTATTTTGTATTATTTCAAAGAATATTTTTAAAATGTTATTCTTTAAATAAAGAATGAAAATAGAGGGTTTTGCTTGTGTCATAAAATTTAAGTAGATTATGAAAATTAAGATCAAATTCTGAAATTCCAAAATTTTAGATGGTGAATCAAAATAAACCCTTACGAACAAGGAAGAGATCTTTTTGTGATTTTCTGTTGAAACGTAAATGAGTTTATTGAATCAAATATATTCTCTTGAATGAATTAAACATCTGGAATTCCTACAGCTAATTTATACTTTGTTGAATTAAACTATATATAACTGTATTTTGCAATATTTTAAAATATTGTGTCCGATAGACTGTTCGGCTGAGACATGTTCAACTTATTCTCTTATTTGGCAAATGAAAGTAGGAAAATTAATGTAAATTCCAAAAGCAATGTGAAATAACTAGTAAGCTGCTTTAAACGAAATTTTGATAAAGCTTGGAAATTTCCTTGTCTAACTTTGCTTTATAGTGGTAACCCTTTTATATAAATCGCCCTGTTCTTTAGCAAAATGTGATATTCAATTTTAACTACAATTGATTGTCATACGTTATGCAATACAGGTGATTCGTGTGTTTATTTTTTCGTTATTGAGGGAATAAAATTTTGGAAAACTATTTTAAAATTATAAAACTTTTTGGTGCAAAAAATATTGCAATCAAAGAGGATATAAAAATATGTTTAGAAAGCTTGAATTTTGGACCATAAAGGGTTTGCTAGCTGCAGTGGCTGTACAAAGAGTCGAGGGCAAGAAAACACCGCCAGAACCTAGCAGTACTGATTTAAGTCATTATCAATGCAGGCCTAGCGATTTGCCTTTATACGCTCCCTTGCACTCATACAACAAGTGAATTATTGTTTTTTTGAAGAAAGCATAAATTTAGAACATTTAAGATATGTTATTTGCAGAGCCGAGCGTTTGCCGCATCCAGAAAAACCATCGGCTGCTCGTGAAACTTTGGAAAAAGGTATACAAGCAATACGTTCCGAAATTCAAGCCGGTGTACACATGGCAACTCAACAAAAAGCCAATATAGATGAATATCTCCACATTGCTAAGCAGCATACATTATCTACGGTTGACTATCTAAATGAACCCCAAAACATACTGCCACGAACGGGCGCCATAGCTATCGGTGGACTGGCTGGTTTTATATTTGGGGCTCGTGGTGGATTTATTAAAAAATTCCTATACACAACTGTTGGTGCTGGGGCAGTGGCCTCATTATGTTATCCACGACAGGCCGAACAATTTGCCCAAGATGCTTTGTATCAGGCACGAAAAGGTTATGCCATCGCTTATAATTTTGTAAAAGGTGTTAAACCCGGGGAAGAAGTGCCTATAGAGCCAATTAATAAGTTCCCTACGTCTTTGGAAGATATAAAGTATCTTTTTTACGATTTGTACGACGAGGCTAAAGAAGCTGTTTTCCCAAAGAAAAAGTAAAAGCAAATTTAAAAATTGAATGGGCAATTATTGTATGTAAGGACACGATTATTGAAACGAAATTGTAAAGTAAAGTGTTGTCATAACTGATGTTTAGTAGTATCTATATGTATAAGATAAAAACGAAGCGAAAAATAGAATAATTAGAAAATAATAGTCAACTGTTTAGGAAAGTTGTGCATTATTTTTTAATTATAATGTTTGAACAAAAAAGAAATAAAATTGTAAACGAACTCTTAATCAAATAAAAATTGATTTTTTCATTCATCGTTCTACTTCACCAAAAAAGTGTTATATGAATGAAGCAAAGTGATTTTATATAAAATTCTTTCCATCTTTGGGCAAGAATATTACGTTTTGTTACCATATATATTTCTAATTCTTTAATATTCGAGACTAATATGTAATTCGGTGAAATGAAAAAAATTTTTATTTTTCGAAATTTGTTGATTAGCGGCTAACACGGACAGACAAATTGAATTATGAGCTTCACCTAAAGCAGATGAAGTGCTAGCTTAAGCTGGCAGCGCTAGAGGAGGTTAAATTGCATCAATCGGAATAACAGTAAGTAAGTAATCTAGGAGCGATAACGAAAAAAAAGTGAATAAGCTGTTGTTACTTTTATTTGAAACTAAGATACATTTTTATTTTAGTAAAATGAGCCGATAGCCTGTGCTGCTAGTGTTCAATGTCTTTTTTTTAGTTTAAGAATTTATTTCATTAGTCTAAAATAATAATAATAATAATATTTTAGTAAAAGCATTCGTAAGAAAATTGACAATCTAAGGTATTCTAATAACACCTCAGAATCAGTTTCTATACTTTTTAGTAATTTGACAAAGCGAAAAGCAGCAATTGCAGATTTAAGAACAAAATTGAAATTTAGAATAGATCCTATCCGCCTGAGTAGCCGAAGGGAAGAAATCTCGACTAGCAAGTCAATGGTCGTGGGTTCGAATCTCAAGTGCGGTAGAGTTTTTAATAAAAGCCGATAGCCTTAGATGCTAGTGCTTTTAAGAGTTTAGTCTTAGAATTTATTTCTGTGGTGAAATTAATAATAATAATAATAATAGAATAGATCCTAAATTTAAAAAAAATCACAATACACCTAATGAATTACGTTTTTTTTCTTAAACATTTAATTTTTGGATTTTGCTGAATAAATAGACAAATTGGAAAAAGAGGAAAAAGGTTTATATAAGTGTATTCAGCTTCATTTGGAAATGCCGGGAAAGAATATTCCCAAGATGTACCGCAGATCAAGCCATATGAAAAGGTATCGGGACTACTGATATTACCGCCATATCCATTGCAAGTTATACTTATACGCCATTATTGGTGAGTAATGAGGCAGGATATGTAGGATATATAATATAAGAATATATTAAAAATGTTAGAAAAGGTGCATCATATATTTAACAGTCTCTGCCAAGCAGTTAAGAATAATATATATAATAATATGTGTGTATTTTTGCTTCGCTTTCGTTTGCATTTTTTTGAATTTGATTTTTCTTTCGAATAATATCTAAAGCACATACTGTTACCAGACTTCTATTGCATGTTTATTCGAATTATCTCATTTTTCCCTCCACCATATGTTGCTTGCAGAGTGGTTTTTAAAATGATGCTAATACTAGGATGGCAAAAAAATGACCTCATAGGTTTCTCAAAATTACCAAAAACCCATTTTAAAGGTCTCTCAAACTGAGCAAAATCAACCAGTATGTGGGTGAAAATGACCAAAATAAATGCACTCAAGTCTGAAAATGATCAAAATGCATATATTTTTTAATAAAAGTGAACAAAAACTCTAAAAAAAACTGATTTTTGTTATAGAAATATACTATACGAATAATATTTTGTTTGGAAAGCTTCATTAAGCTATTTAGTTAGGCTTATCTATAACTATCCTCATTTTAGACAAACATTTGTTCATTCGAACTATTCAAACAATCGATCATTGTGTTTGTTTTTAAATATTTTCTTTTATTTGCAAATTGTGTTATATTAAGAGATGATACCATTGTAACAGTCGTCGAAAGACGTATTTTTGCAATTGTTTCTGGATGGAAGGTACAACGATAAAATATCAATGATCGACGAAGAGTTATTAAGAATATATTGACATATTAAAATATATGCAATTTGGAGAATTGCGTAGGGGTCTTAAAAATATTAATTTTTCTACCACTGGAGGTATTTGAAGGCAGTAAGTCAATTTTTCGGCAAAGAAGGTAATCTGTCCCTTTAATCTGAGCACTGGACGCAGCTTCTTCTCTCTATTGTGAAAAATTAAAGTGAAAATTCTTGGAGTTATGCTATCGGCCGTTTTGAATAATCACGTTCCAAGAAGGATGCGTTCGCAATTCACGTGTTCATACAACATACAATCCTAATCGAAAAGTTTGTTTCGAAGGTAAACGCGTGCGGTGATATATTATAAAGCATACCTCGGATCACCCATGCTGGAAATGAGAATATCGTACGAAATAAGAATATTTCTTTCATTTTTATTGCCCCGTTTTGATTTTTTTTCATGACTACACGTTCTCTAAAGTGTGATATGTTGCCACAGATACAAGAATTATGCTTAATAGTTTTACCGACATGTTCCGATCTAATTGAGTTGAACTTGAATTTCAATTATAGTTGAAATGAATACCCAAAGGATTGCATTGATCATGTCTTAACCCAGCTGATACCAATATTCAAATTAAAAGAGCTTATAAAGACACTCTTAATACTAATGCAAAAAATGGACTTACTGTAAACCTTCCCCAAATAAACAAGCAACCAAATATGCTTAATTCGGCTCTACCTCTAGGTAGTTTTCGGTAAGTTCTCTTGGCTTAAACTTGTAACAAGTACCACTTTTCAAAGTGCACCATTAAGAAGTGAAATAGTACGCATTAAAATTATTTTTGTAAATTGTTCAAGTTTTTTTGCACGCCTTAGCATCAATATATATAGCTTCATAATAATAATATGTCGTGGTAACACTTAGCTCAAATATTATCTTACAAATTTGTTGCCAAGACTGTCCATCTTGTTTCTTTTTTTTTTTTGATTAGAGAATGTTAGAAGTGAAACAAAATTATTTTTTGATTAAAAAAAAAAAAATAGACAAAATGAAAAAACTCAGTCACATATTATGTAAAGAGCTCGTTTTTCACGAGAATTTACAAAAATATAAATAATATTGAAAATAATTGAAAATCAACAGCAAGCGGAAATTTGATGAATCGATTTTTAAATCTGAAATAAAAAAAAAAAAGATTATTTTGTAATGAATAAAGAATTAAATAAAGCAAAAATTTATCCGATTCACATTTGGAACAAAATATTTTGTGAGAAAATAGTGAAAGCGATCCAACTTTTTCTAATCAAGAGAAAGTTTACTTCACAAGCAGAGAAACCGTCAGCACCAAACGATTGAATTGTGGTAGTCGACAACATAATATATATAAAAACTTAAAAACGGAAACGAACTAAACAAAGGGACTAGAATTACTCTATTATCTATTGGAAATATTAATTAGTATTATTAATTGTTTTGTATTTAGTTGCTTAAAATATTTTTATAATGTTGCAGTATTTTTAAAATCCTTCCGCCAACGAAAGCATTCGATGACAGATGAGTCATTAATTTTATCTTTTTTTATCTTAGCAATTAAAACCCAGAATAATTAATAAATTATTTATTTGTTTATTTATTTTTATTTACTTACACATGAAACTCAACTAAAATAAGTCAACAGTCGAATTCAATTGACTTTTAGTCTTATACTAATTATTATTAAAAACTAGTAAAACGTATGTGAGGAGAAGTAAAGAAAAAAATAATTTAATAATAATTCATGTATAAATAAATGAGAAAGCAAAAAAAGAAGAAAAAGGGAAAAGCATGCACACAACCAGCATAAAGGCACACCCACAACCAGTACAGAACAAAGTTGCAAGTGAACTTCTAAGCCATTCAAACATGCAAAAGCACGGCAACTGATGTCAGTAAATAACAATTAATTTTCGAATCATTATGAGGTATGAAGGTTAAGAGTTACTTTAAAAACGATATTGAGATTAAGTGATAGACATCGTTCAGGTTCGTACAAACAACTCTGAACGGATTAAATAACTTATAATTATATTTACATTGACAAAGCTTAATGAAAATAAAGTGCCTAGACAAGCGACTAAGGGCATTAAAGCTTATCTCACCAAGTAATGTGGACGAATCGATAATAGTATTAATTAATTTAATTAAGAAGGGAACACCGAGAATAAATCTACGCATTTCAAGTGATAGAGGACAACAGAAGCAACCTATTTTCATAAGGAGGCGAACGGACAAGCAGGTCCCATCCCAATTTCCTAATGGTGAAGAGCAAGTTTTGCTTTTCAACAGATTCAATTGTATCCACATCACATTTATAGGAAGGAGACCACACTGCAGAGGCGCATACTCAAGTGTGGGTCCAACGAAACACATGTAAAGCCTTATTGTAATATAAGGATCCTTGCAACGTTTTTCAACGTTGATAATTATCTTGTAATTTTAAAAATTACATAAAATAGTACAGTCATCTACTTATGCAGTTAGTAATAAACCATGACAACTTAGTCCTTTGCATGTTATAAAAAATGCGGTGAGTTATTTTGTAATGAGAGAAAAGTAGGTTTAGGGACCACAGATTTGTTGTACAAAAAGTGAAACCTTCCCGTGATTGCCGAACTGGCCAGCTTTACATTGACACGTGTGTTACAACCGTTACAACCTCTGACGCTCTGACCCTTCGACTATATTTATATAATATATCATTCCGTTGCACAAACGTGTCTGACTTTGATTAGATTGATTCGAAATATTACTTGGTACTAAGCAAAAGTGGCGCTTAACGTGGGCCCCATTTCACACGGATTCGATGTTTTTCCACTCAAAGTGGGGCTATTTCATTGAAATTGCATACATTTATTTCTTTGCTTTATCTTTCATCGTTTCTTTGCTTGTGGGGATATATGATGCTCTTCGTACGAATAATGTTTGAATTCGTTTGTACACAAATGTGTTGTTTTTTAATTTTTTGGTTACGGGTTTGAGCACTCAGTAAGCACGGCTTGGAATTGCTGATTTTTAACAAATTGTCATTGTCAAGTCAATGATTTTCTCAACTAATTCGCCACTTTTTGTCCAGAGCATTGGTGAATTGAAATTTATTTTATAATGGGTGACATGGTGTAATGCTTGCAATCTAAGCTTTTTCTTCCGCATATGCGTCTTGTCTTTGAGATATTTTGATGAAATTTGTTACATTGACATGTCTTGGCTCAAGAGCTGACGTTATTGAAAATGGTTCGGATCGGACCACTTTTTCGATCATTTTTCATATAACATTTTGTTTTAAAAAATCGGTATACTGTCGTCAACTGTATTAAGCGAAATGGTGTTGGGAATATGGAATATGTTCCACAGTAGTGTTTTTTCTTTGGTTGTTTTAACTACACTTTAGGGATTAAGTTCATTTAAATTTGTAAACACTTTGTCCAATTTTCTAACTTCATGTATTTCCTATTACGACTTATTAATCTAATAACACGACTCACAAACTGTGTGTATTCATTGCGGCCGTAAAAGAGACGTAAATGAATACGAAACAAGGAGTAATGAATTCAACAGTTCGGTTGTAATAATCGATTGCAATGAGAAGGATTAGAAACGATTAGCAAGAACACATTAAAAATATTAAATAGAGGTAACTAATAAAAAAAAAAAGAACGATTTGGCTTGAAAAATTAAAAAACTTCATAGCTCTAAGCATGTGGAAGTTAATTTTTGATTTTGGTTCCAATTTTCATTAAATTGCAGAATTTCAACATGGTCTTATCAGGCGAATACATTTTAGAAGTGTTCTAATAAGAGATGTTTCAATAAACTCTCCGTAAATTTTGATATAATTTAAATTTATTTAAACATTCTTAATACAAAATAATCGAAGTGTAATGTTTATCATCACGATCTATGTTCATTTAGATCATATCAGACGGGCAGGTTTGTTAGTCATGCTTAAATCAATTCAGAATATGATATATATGCTTTATGGGGTGTCTGAAGCTTCATTTCGGATGTTGCAAACGTTTTCACAAAATGAAAAATCTCACCTCTCGGTAAAGGATATAAAAATGCACTAAGTTTGTGAAAATATTCAAATTGACAGAAACAAAGGAAAAACATTTGTTCTATGATAAAAATTCAAATAGAAACAAAAATTCTTTTATTAGAAAACTCAAACAAAATCTAGGGAAACCAAGGGATAATTTTAGGTTTTGAATTTTAAAAAATCTGCACCATTTGCAATACATAACTATGTACTTCGATCGATGTGGTACTCAGAAAGAGTCAAATCTGGAGAATAATCTTTATTCGGGAGCATATCTAAGTAAATGTTGAAGATCACTAGCTTGGCTGATTTTGGTACAGATTGACGGACATTATGGTGAAGTAAACCTTCTTTTCGAGTTTCTTTCCTCGTAAATGGTCTTCTTCCTACAAGCACCAAAGGTAAAATTATCTGTACATTGAACGCGTCAGATTTGTTCTCTAAAGAAACCAATTTTTACAAAGAGAACTTATTGACTGACATAAATTATGTTTGTATAACCTATTGGGTTCAAAATTATTTCAAGTCAAATCAAAATTTCTTGTTGCATATACACAAGATATATTTTGATCAATTTGAGGCACTTATGTTTTGACTTGGAGGTAATTTCAACTTAAAGGCAGTTTTGTTTTGACTGGAGAGAATCTTGTCAACTTAGAAGCAATTATGTTTCAGGTTAGTGTGAAAACATGAAAAAAGGAAACAAAAAAAAAAAAAAAATAGGAAGGAACATACATTAATACGATACTTACCTTATTTTTGACTATTTTTCGAAGGCACTATTCGGATGATATTTAATGAGCTTAGGGTGCTTGTATATATCAGAAAATGTGGTGAAGAACTGGACAAAACTCTCAGAGCAGAGAATAATAAATTTAACCAAAAAGCTTTTTTTTTAAATACTTTTATATTTTTTATACATAATAGTATTTTTTATATATTTATTGAATTTATAATTCACATTAACTATTGGAAGTTTATTATTTAAAATTCACAGAAATAGAAGCAGGACACTTTATGGTTTCGTTGCAATTTGAAATAGTTTTCATAGCTTTGTTTTTCTTTTTCTTTAACAAAAGTGCAAAAGTGTATTACGCTATTGAGGTTACATTTCTTAGGTTCACAATATCGAAATGTAAAAAAAAAAGTTAAAACATATCCCTCATAAAGGGAACTTTCCTGATTTTTTAGCAAAACAAACAAAAGGAATTTCGTGATTGAGAAAAGAAGAAAAATAATCTGGAGTAATATGGAGGTATCTCGAAAAAATTAAAGTGCGCCTTTTTTTTTTTGCTTAAAATTCCCGTAAGACCACCCAGCAATGAAATATTTTTAGGCAGATTTTAGAGTCTGAAAAACCGTCTTAAAAAGCAAGAATAGTCATGTTATCCTAATGGCAGCAATTTGTTACCTTCTTACTTTGATTCGTAAAATACAAGCAATAACTTAAAATTCGGTAAAATAACATGAAGCATGTAAGGGAGGGCCAATTTTGAATATTAATAGCAGTTCAAAGTGTTTTTTTTGCTCTTTTGCTCTGACTTGTGGAATCAGAAACTAGACTATTCGTATCGTTTAGGAATCGATGGAATCGACAGATTTATCTTGATACGCTATACCACTTGTAGTACAAGCGTGTATTAAATGTCTGCAAAAGTGTGCAATAAACAGAAGCACTTGAAATGGACGCACGTTGTATTATATAGATCGATTTAGAATCATTTTCTACGTCGATTTGATATTGCCTGTCCGTCCGTCCAGCCTTCTGCCCATCTAGTTTTTTTGTGTTCAAGCTATCGGCCCCAATTATTGAATTATTGTCATGAAATTTGAGAAACGTTTTGGCCGAAGGACGAATGCTATTGATAATGTTTCGAATCGAATCACTTTTTCAACTACTTCCCATATAGCTTCTCATTTTAAAAAGTTGCTATGTAAACAACTGTATTAAGCGAAACGGAGTAGAGTATTTAATAGCAGGTCACGTGTTTTTATTTGTTCTTCTTCAATATTATCCATTCTGTTTTTGCGTCTTTCTCATTGTTTCTGTTTTGAAAATCTTTACTTTGCAACTTGCCGCAAAGTAGACACTTTATTTAGTTTTCCACATTGCTTGCAATGCAGTAAAACTCAACACATTTAAAGAAGTTTTTGCAATGATTTTTTAATTTTTACAGGAATAATAAGCATACGAAATTGGACTTATGTCTGCCAAGGTCATTTGGCAGATGAGTTATCTCTGCATTACATTTGACGAATATAAAAAAAAAAAAAAAAATTCTCTTTAAATTCATTTAACGGTAAGAAGTAAGATAAGTAATCGAAGAAATTTTATAGTTTCTATAATAATTCTTTCTAACTATAAATAAAATAAATATAAATCACATATAATTTAAATTTAACAAACGTTTGAAATAGTTTAAAAAAAAAAATATTAGAGATAAAAAATAAGAATTTAATAAATAAAACAAATATTCAACAATTTAATTAATTTTCATACACAAAGTAAACTATATACAGTTACATCGTTTATAGACGACCAAGCAGCTAATCACGTAACATTTTCCATAATCCAAGGCACAAATTTTGAGATACGTGTACATACTCCGGGCAAATTAGCTTCGGCACAACCAATGCCCCAAGAAATTATGCCTGCCAAAAAATAATGGCCATTTTGCGACTTGACCTTAACGATTTGTAGAAAAGGAATTATCAATAACGCATCACTGCTTGTAAGAAAATTAAAAAATTTAAAAAGTTGCACCTGTAATGGTCCACCAGAGTCACCTTGACAGGAGTCTTGACCTCCTGTTTCGTAACCAGCGCATAGAAATATTTCTGGTATAAATTCTTGTCGTCCCGCTCTTAAGAACATTGATTTGCAATTATCGTTACTAACTATGGGGACTGAGACCTAGAAATAAAAATAATAATAATAAAGAACAAGGATAATAATTTATGACAAACAATTTCTCTTAAAGATTTACCTCTTGCAACACAGACGGCAAAGTACCGCCTTCACTTAATCTACCCCAACCAGTTACAGTGGCGTTCATACCTATTAGCAGACTATCAGTTTGCGGCAAACATATTGGACTAACATGAGGAGCAAACTCTAATGATTGTTCTAATTTTACCAATGCCAAATCATATTCGTACGTAAAGAAATTATATTGCGGATGTACCACTTTCTTGGCCACGCTGCGCTCTATATAGGGCAATTGTTCCTGGACGTGTGAAAAATCGTATTCACCTACACGTATACGGATCTGAGAGATCAACAAACTAAATGACAATGAAAAAATTAATCAGTTTCATTACTATGCAGAAGAAATAAAGCTTACTCATCCACGCAATGACCCGCAGTAGCTATCCAGTTTTCATTGATCAATGCACCGCCGCAACGATGAGTACTCGAAAAGCCGAAGAATGACGTTCGACGCACTGAAACTTGCCAGGGCCAACGACCGAAAGCCGCACTTTTACCACCGACTATACGTGTTTCAGGCCGAGCCAATACCGGTATACCACATTCTAGGAAAGATAAAAAAAGAAAAAATCGAAAAATCGCGAGATAACTTATATTATATGTAAAATAATATATGTATAAAAGTGAAACAAAAAACTCTAATCTAGTCTTGGTTCTCCGGTACTGCATTTTTATGGGAAATATCTAGAAATTCTATTAATTATTTCAGCAAACTTCTTAGTAATAGATCGTATTTAGACAAAACCTTACTTTTTTTTGGCTGTGGTCTTTAACTGGCAATATTCTTGCAATATTTGGGAAGCTGAGTGTTCCAACAATCAATGTTAAAAAGTCGAACGACTAGACGAACACGGCTACCAAATATATTTTAATTTCCCTCTTCTAGAATTTGACAAATCAACAAGATATGATTTACAATGCAAATATAATTGCAATCAGGAGAGCGCGATTTTCGTGCGAGATGTTCCAGTTTGCAACGGACTACAGAACGCGTAAATAATGCGCTTACTAAAAAATTAAAGTCAAAATTTCAAAAAACAAAGTCAATTTTCAATTCTTCCTACTTTGTTTCGGAAGGTTAGATTCAAAAACCATTTGTATAAATGGATTATTATTGTTGTCGTAACTAGAAAGACTTAGGCAATGAACATAACACTAAAAAATATAGAGAATTATCATGTAGAAGAGGGATTATAATACAAATAGATATATAGAGCGGCTGAACCGCTACTGATGTAATCACCTTGCACCACTATATCTTGTAACATGCGGTTATATTTTACAATATTAATTATAAATACAACCCTGCAGAAAGTCGGGTTGTTAATCTCTCTCGTTCATAAATGAATGATGTTGAAGGTAAACTTTCGTCAACTTGTGAGGAAAAAGAATGGTTGAATGTTGTGGTCGGTAAACGAAGAGAAAACGAAAATTTCACACTGAGACAAAATGTAATTAACATTTAAAAAGATTTGACTTGAAATTATAGATTATTGCTGAAAACGTTGAATACGTATCAATTAAAATGTTTGTATTGATTGTTTTCATAAAGTTTACTACGATCAGCGGTTAAAATGGTTTTAAACATAAAAGGGAATCGAACTGAAGATCATGTGAAAAATTTTACATTTGGGTTGACGTCATGTTTAATTTTGTTCGTGATAACTTAAGCTATTGACAGTGAAGACGTGAACGAAAAGAAAAAAAGGAAATTTTACCAAAGTAAGTCAGGCAGAAAAGATAGAGATTACGATTGAAACAGTGACGAAGATTTGATATCGTAGAAATTGTATAAATCATAACATATTTCAAACATAAAAATGTTCTGCTGTAAAAATATTTTATATGCAATAGTGATCGCAAAGAATAAAATCTGATATCCATATTTAAATTGGAAAGTAATCACATATGTATACAAACAAAATTACATGTTAATAAAATAAGAATTCCATTATGTCTAAAAATTATTTGCATACATGTTATATGCAGAAATGAATGCACAATAAGTTGTAAGTTATTGTTTTATTGTTTGAACATAAAAACTATTCAGTGACATGTTATGCGTAGTGCATAAAATGCGTTATTCGTGTCGTTTGTAGAAAAATAAAAAAATTTTCAAAAAGTAAGAAAACAGTTTATATAATTACTTGGGTTAGAAAATGATAAACTAAAAAGTGACTTTATCTGACAAGAATAGTAATCTTTCCCTGTTTGATGGACGGTGAACGAGATTAAATAACAATACATTTTTTTTAAACTCAAGAACATCAACTAAAACAAGTCTCAATATACACTGCCGTGGAAGTGTGATGGACGAACTCTAAGTAAAGCAAAGAGTACGTCGAACGTATAAATGCGATAAGTTTTTTATTTCAACTTTACGTAGCTAAGAATGCAGCGAACACAGCGAACGTGTCACTTTGCGAGGTCATTCAAAAACCAAATTAAATGTATTTGCTTTATCAGAATAAATTTAGCATCATATCTTAAGGATTTACTAATATTAGTTTAAGAACATTTAAGGAGCGTACGATAAATTTTATGTAATAAAACAAAGAGATTATAAAAATAAAAACGTTAACATGATATAGATAATGTTTTTTTGGTTTTTTGAAAGGAAGTCAGCTTAGGGGTCGTCGGCCCCACCTTCGATTTTTGCAATTAGAGACCAGAGGAGACCGTAAATAGGGTAGCGTACAGAGTGGCCCAGGGCTTACGATATGCTGCTTCATTAAGTAGATTTCGTCTGTTGGTTTGTTCTCTCAGTTGTAACCATCTGTGAAGTGACCGTGGAACAAAAATTTGAAACTCCCTCATATCTCCCAAGCTAGCTAGCCCAGCATGACAGGTGCAGCCCTCTCTACTGTCTCCAGTCTTCTCATAGCGTCCCTAAAAACAATAAACTCCGTCGTTCGATATTCAGACAGGCAGTAAGGATTTACAAACATTTCGTTACAATTCTTAATACTTGTCTTATGTCAGCAACACGAGAAGGACGTGATCAATTTCCTTTTATTTACGAAACCATCAAAGGATTTCAAAGCCAGCGGTAAATTATTCCAATGCCAAGCTACACGGACAATAAAAGATCGGGTAAGAACAATTGAATATCTAAATAGTTTGATATTCAAGTAAAAAGTTCCAGCTCGGGGCGATTTGAAAAGTAAGGTCTTAGTCTTGCGCCCATGCCACCTACATTACCACTGGTAAACCTGGAAAATATCATTCGCATAGACAAGAAAACTGCAGTGAGTACCAAGCGAGCCACGAAAATCATGTATTTAAAAAAAAAAACTCCTAATTTTCCTTTTCGTTTTAATCCTTTTGTACTGTTATTTAGCATAACATAATGAACCAGTAGCAATCAAATTTGAAATAGAAAATGTACAGGGAATTGAGAAGATAATATAAAACTTATATAATATGGTGTATTATAGGTTGGCAACACATAGTTGACATGTCAAGCCCTGTTCTTTTCTTTATTTCTTTGTTATTCACTTTTTTCGTTTGTTTTTTCAGGCACTTACGATTGTAAAAGCGATATCTTGTACATAGACGAGCACGGGAGACGTTTATAAATAATAATCCTTCGTCTTTCGCAGCAAAGAAAACAATAAAAAAACAAACTTGTTAGCAATTAACTAATAAGATTTACTGTTATTAACGGAGGGGACGATCAAGATTCTTTTGGGGGTGATGACGACTCATACTTTTTATTTTGTTTTTAGAAAATTCATTTTATTTTTATGTTTTTAAAAACATTTTCATAAATATGTTTTTCTATTTCTATGCAAATTTTTGCAAAAATCTACTAACCTGCACGTGCCGCTGAAATTGTTTTTATTATATGTTCCTTATTGTCAATGTTATCCGTTATCTCGTTAGTTTCTATAGTACTGGGGCTATACGATGGTAATGTATGTGATGTGGAGCTGGAGTTTTGCGCTTCAGTCGTAGGTGCTGAGAAGGTTGAGGTGGTTCCAGTAACAGAAGATGAGCTTTGCAATGTTATTGGCCTTTGGGTATTTTTTGTGGGTTTTATATTAGGGGCTGCTGTTATCATTGTTGTTATTGTTGTGGAAGTAACAGTACTTGTCATAGCGTCTGTGGAAGGCACAGTAAAAAAACTTGTACTGCTATTATTTTTGTCACCACTATTACTGGTGATGCTGACGCTAATGCTGCTGCTGCTACTGCTGCTACTGCTACTGCTACTTGCGCTTGAGGTAGGTTTGCTGTAGGGCCGTGTAGTACTATAAGGTGATGGTAACTTTGATGGTTTTACATTTTGCGCCATTACCTGTAATGGTTCAACACATCTGATAATGAAAACTATAATGAAGTTTTTAATGTCATCTAGACCGCCTTAAATTGCTTATAAATGTGTACGTTATTATTAATCGAAATTGTACAAGATCTATTACATGCGTGCTTCTTTCCCTGTCTTCCCTTTTTCCTATGTAGTCAGTCATACATACATTGTGTAATGTACGTTTACAATATGTACATATGCATATATAGGTACATACACTTATATATGGTCAGTCAACCTTTTGCTTAGTAAATGGTAGAAGAGGATGGAAAAAAAGAATTTCAGACCACACCCAGAGAGTAAGCCATAGACAATCTTTCATCAGCAATTTTCAAACAATAAAATGTCGCCTAAAGCTTTAAAATCATTATCCCTAACGCGCGTGCAAAGTACACAAAAAAAATTTCTCAGAAAAAAAAGAGAGTAAATGACCATCACATCATAAGCTTAAGAGCATTTAGGTTTTACTTATTTTATTTTTTTTACATACCGTAGGTTTAGGTTTCAGAGTCGTTGCCTTAGTTGGCATTGTAAGAGTTGACGTCGAAAAGGAGGTGGCAGACGTAGATGTCTTCATTGTTGTTGTTGTCGTTGTTGTTGCTGATGTTGACGACGTCGGTTTTGGTAACTTAATAGGTTTTCGTGTTGAATAGTTGCTAAATATTAGTGGTGGCTGTGGTGAAGTTACATGCTGCTGCTGCTGTTGCATGGTTAACCATATTAATGTAGTATTGAGTGGCTTCTTGCTGGGTTTGGAAGGTTTAGGTCTAAGAGTAATTGGCTTCTCCCAATTTGGCGGCCGTGGTTTGGTTATGAAATTCGGTTCTGTGGATAAATGCCAGTGCTGTTGATGAACTAAATTGTAGAAAACCAAATTATTCGCTTTTTGTTATGTGACAATTGCTTTAATTCCGCGAAAGCAATACCCACCTGCTGATACCGAAGGTATACTGGCCCATGATTCCATATCTTCATGTAAACCATTTAAACTCCATAGGGAAGCAGGACTGCCTGTCGTAGTACTAGTTGCCAAGGTAGTTGTACTGCCATAAGAAGGTTTTAAATGTTGAGGCTTCATTAACGAACTCTGATGGTGTGGTCCTGAAGGCCTTATGACTAAAGTACCCGCGCCATGAGGCCTTTCAATGGTGGTCATGCCACTATAAAATTATAAAACACGTTAATGACCTTAATTACAAACGAGATTTTATTGCTTTAAATTATTTGCAATTGTTACCTAATGCTTGGTCGGTGTGGATGTTGTGGTGGTCGATGATTCACACTAGCCATACCAACCGGTTTAGTGGGTCGCGTATATGAAAATGTATTATGCAGTACTATGTTGTCGGTATAATTATGAGCACAACAGCTGCCAAACATAAATGAATCGACGCACATGCCCACATGACGGCCCTCTGACTTTATGCATTCCCACACAAACATGCAAGTGCCCTCAATGCGGCCAACTGTACAGGGTTTGGGGCTAATTTTAAAGTTTTGACTCCGTAACAAACTGTTAGGTGACCCAAATTCCTCCAAATTCTGTTGCACCTGTAAACCGTTATAGCCGAAAGCTGAACCGCTAATGCTGTGAGGTTGCCGACTATCGAAGACCGGCGATTGATTGTCGATGCCTATAAATTCTTCGCTATTCGAATGCCGCGTTGCACTAACCACTTCTTGAAAATAACTACTAAATATTCGTTTATTGAGCAAATCGACTAAACTATCTCGCCGTAGTTGCTGAAATTGGTCTGATTGATGTGAGGCAGCAGCAGTGGCAGCGGCAGCCTTTAATGGCAGGTGCGTTAGGCTGTTTATTAGACAATTTACTAAAAGTAACACTAATAATACTTCTATTATTTGGTTGTAGGAGGATTTGACTATTGATAGGATTTTATAGGCTAAAGCGTTAATTGGCTCTGCTTTTGGAGATTTACTTTTGTAAGGTTTGCAACAAGAATGATGACGTATGCTAAGAAAGCCCAGAATTTCATGTAGCCTTTGTTGCTGTTGCTCTTGTTGTGGCTGTTGCTGTTCTCTTTGTTGTCGTCGTCGAGTTCTTTTACAATTGCTATTAATATTACGACTGCTACTTTTAATGTTATTGTTCTTGTTGTTGCTGTTATTACTGTTGTTGTTGTTGTCGGTAATGCGGTGGTGCTCATGCTGATTGACTAGCCAACAATGACTAATGCGATTCCTCATTTTGAGCGATTTATTGTGGTTGTTTGTTTCTGATCGTCTTTGCTGCAATCTAAAAAATGAAAAGCAAAAATTGAAAAAAAATCTTTAGATTTCATCCTGTTAGCTAAAGCACTTGCAATTTTTGAAAGTTATTTACACTAAAATTCCTGAGATGTTTATCTATAATTTTTGTACATATTATATGTGTAAGGTTGTATACACTATTACAATAAATACGTAAAAACATTTATAATTTCATATGAGATTTGATTGCACATCCATATGAATTCACAAGCGAGCATAACATAACTCACCGTCAATGGCAATGTGCTCGCCATTATCATCATCAGTCGCAACAACCTACTAAAACGGCAATTTTAAGAGATTGCGTGCCATTTTATATGTATACATATATACATTTTAGTTTTAACGAAAAAAAAAAGTATTTTTAATATTTCTAATTTTCAACGTCAGCACCAGCTATAATCACAATTATCACTACAAGCAATAGCAACAACAACAACAGCAACAACAAAATTGAATACACATGTATATAATTCATGACAATGTGGTAAAGAGAAAAACACTATATAAGAGCAAAGATGGCGGTGGTGGCACTACATCTCATAATAACACACACACAAGCCTAAATATAAGATTCCTTTGATTTCTTTCAGTGAACAAGTTGCTTACTACATGCCGCTATTATGTATGTTTTTTTTGTGTATTTATTGTGCTTGTGTCACTGAAAATATCTTCGAGCATATACACTCACACACGCACGATCGCCATGCAATACTGCTGCTTAGTATATATTTTTTAATATTGTGTGCCTAACTGTTACTATATGCCTAGCTACAAACATGCCTAAATTTGTGTTTGCTTATGCGAATGCCAGCGTGTATGTACATGTGTAGATGTGCGCTTTTTTAAACTGTATAACTCTCTTGCACACACTCAACTATCGAGCCAGTGACTGGTTTAATTGCTACTTTTCACTTTTGCTTCATAATCAGTAACTAACAATTTTTTGTTTCTTTTTTTTTTTTTTGGTTTTTTACTGGGTTGCAATCATAACCGCTGCAACAACAGTAGTAACAGTAACAATGACCGCAAAACAAAAAAAGCATATTTCTGACCGTCTTTCTTCTTATCACATCTTGTCGTCCTTTCTTCTCTTATAAAACAAAAACAAAAATAAAACTATAATGCAATTAAAATCTTACGTTAGTAATGCACCAGAGGCTAGCAACTGTCTGTCTATCTTTTTCAAATACTCTTCTTGTTGAAGTCTTGGTCTGTCATTTGGATCATTTGTTGACAAACAATGTCTATAGGGATTAAGGATTCACTTACAGCAGAATTTCTTAAACTTTTCTTTACGAAAGACATGTAAATAAATCATAAACGTTCGAAGAAAAAAACCTCTTCGAATATGTTATAAAACTGAAAAGATTCCCCGCTTTTGGGACTTGACTTTGCTAACAGAATAAATAAATTTTTTATTCGTAGACTATTAAAATCATTCTAGCGCCTAATTTTCGTAATTCTATTATGCTACATAACCAGTAACCTCTTCGCATTATATCTGTACTACACACTTTCAATAAAACATTATTATTATAAGCAGAAATTCATCAACCCAAGAAAAGCCATAATTATGTTGTGCGTAGACCAGAAACGCTAGCACGCTGAGATGAAAACACATATAGTGTTTGCCGTTTAAAAGTCCACCCCGTATGTCGTTGGGTGTCAATAGGGTGCATAACCCAAAAAAGCATAGGTTTTAGATATGCGTGGTCGCTTTGACTGTAGACCGCGTCCTCTTAGACTATGTTACAAGCCAGGAACGCCAAGCCCTAATGTTCCATTGCCCCAAGGCAAATGACACTTATAGGGTTTAGCTTAATACAATATTTAGTTGACGCTCGTTGGGTGCCGTATAGTTAAACTCTTTTTCACTCATGTATTCGCCGTAAGCCACGGCATTGACGTTTTATGATATTTACAGCATATGTAGATGACACGGGCGGGACTATTAGAATATCTTGCGTATACCACGTGTGGTAAAGGGCATATTAAGTTTATGCGGACGTATATAACGGAAGCGCTTAATGCAGACCCATCTTTTCTTATACCGATCGACTCAAAAAGTGATTCCAAGCCTGTCTGTCCATGTAAATTTGTGTTCAAAGTACAGGTCGTAGTTTTTGAGATATTATGTAAAAATTTGGTACACTGACCTATTTTAATCCAATGACGAATGGTATCGAAAATAGTTTGGATTGCACCATGTGTGTGACCACTTTCCATTGGAAAAGCACAATTTTTAAAATTTCACGGCAAAACTCGATCGGTAATCATATTTCAATATTCTAAGTTGGTATGAAAAATTTGTTTCGACAGGGGCAATTTTCGAACTCTCTCTCATATAATCGTTCCTATGAAACCTGAATCTTTATCTAGTAAAAAGATATAATTTATTATATATCATGATGTAAATTAGGTCATAACGGTAATTTGACAAAGAAATCAACCTTACCGAATTTGGACCAGTATGCTATTGCATGAAAATAACGTGTAACTTTTGGTGTATTATTATCAAGAAGAGTGAATAATTGGGGCGAAGTGGTGTAGGATATCTAATAGTCGGCCTTTCCCGCTTAGAATATCTTGGTCATGTGAAAATGGCTACGCCCTTTAGCTAACGGCAAATGCAAATAATACTTTAGAATGCTGTATGAAATTATGTTTTCAAGCATTTGAATGCAATCGTATAAGTTGTCGTACTCAAGCGTGCACGATACAGTGTCTTGGGAAACGTGCGAATGCATTTCAAAAACTTTTCTAGCGGGAAACTTTACTTTTCTTCCTTAATTCTCGGACTAGCCTTACGAGTGGTGGACAGTAAATGCATTACGATACCCAATTCCAACTAACAAATGATGCAGAGCAGGTAAACTATTAGTATCGACGACGAAAGCTGATTATCCACAGCGGTCTTATTCGCGGGAGTCAACTGGTGATGGAAAGTCATGGTTTGTTCCGAACAAATAAAAACACCCCCACGAAATTCTACCAAGAACAACTGATGCCAATGGGACAATAAACGACAGTAATGTGCCAAAAGTCATGATATCGCGAGTTTTCAATACGAAAAACTTCTGCCCCATTGAAGAAAAGTAGCAGAAGAAATGCTTGCAATTGAATGTCATACTTTCCCATCCCTTATCAGCAGGTATAACTTTTTTCGATTCATAGAGATTTTAATAGACGTTAATGTTCGTTTGAACGGTGTCCTCAAATATTAATCCTTTACGCATAGCATCAAAATGTCAGTTGCTAGTTTCGCACCAAATTTCTATTCTGTACAAGAGATGGCAGCATTCGCTCAAACATCATCGATATAATTTGTGACATTTTCATAAAATGCGAATGTTTCGAATCATCCAAATAGCTTTTGCGTAAACAAACAATGCTTAACGTTCAACGGAAATTTCTACTTAGGATTAAATATTTTTGATTAAGGATCACATATGGGCAATGGTTTATTTAATTGTTTAACAGTAGAAAGCAATGGCTGAAAAGTTTGAAGAGGAAGAATATCGACAAAAACTCAAAACTTAAATAATAACCGCAACCTTAACTGTGACGGATAAAGACTTTTTTAACTAATAAAAGAAAGTTCCGCAAATATGGAAGAAATGAAAGCGGAAAACTTAAATATTTACGACTAATGCTTGAAACGTTTATGGCGAGTCGTATTCATAGTTGAAGAAGGCGATATTTATATAATGAAATTATCCTAAGCCATGGCCACAACTCAATTTATAATCTGTTGACTTCAAATTTCAACTACGACTTCATGCAAATATTTTCGTAATGACACCTGTAGGACCTTATTTTTTGAGAAAGTAAAAAATGTGTAACTTTTTTTACACAAGTATTTTTATTCAAATCCGGCACAATTTACTACATTTTTAATAATATTTCAAGATTTTTTTGATGTTTTCTTGTTCCTTACGCAAAAGTGCATTATGTAGAAAAACGGCCAAGGAGGCTATTAAAATTTTTTTTTTTCACCTATCACCGAAAGGTGAGAGATATAATCATTTTGTCAAAACATTTGCAACGTCCAGAAGGCACTTTTAGAGACGCCGTAAATTATATATACTCTTAATCATCCCCAAATTCGAAATCGAATTAAGTCTGCCCGCAAATCCGTCTGTGTAATGTCTACCTGGCCTCAAAAATGAAGCTATTGACTTCAAGTTTGGCAGAAACATTGGAAATTGTTGCACGCAGGCTGGTATTGAAAATGGGGAAAAACAGACCATGCCTATTCAATAGTATATAGGATATCAGAATGTGATTTTTTTATCAATACGCTTATAACGCGCAGAGTCAAGCTTCAACAAACCCATAAAGTAAATAAATTCTTAGCCGGTTTCAAAAAAAGAAGGTATCGTCTACAAATTTCCAAAAGACTTCGAAATTACAGGTCGCACTTACAATGCCCACACGTCTCATACAATCGAAACTGAGAACACCTTTGCTTTCCGTGACTTTTGCTCATTCCCTGTAAACTACAACAGATAGGCGACATAAATTTCCACAAAATTATTCTACAAGAATATCAAAAATTATTGAAGAGATGCGGAATATTTTTCCAATACATTGACTGGTCCTCGTAAATAGATTCGAAAAATTGATTCATGATCCTTCGCAACTCATTCAAATTGGTACCAGCGGTAAAAATTTGTGTCTTTTCACCTGACATTGTGCTGCATGCGATGGAATCAGCTGAGTCTCGTGTATTTTGCGGTCGCTGAAATATAACAAAACTATGATTGCATATAAAAAAGAAAATGTTTTACGTACGTACGTGAAGAGAAGAAAAAGTCTTTAAGGTACAAAAAATATGTAAAAAGTCAATTTTTGTGAATTGAATGTCCTACTCTACTTCAAAGACTCTTCACTCATTGTGTGACTTTCTTCTATCGAGAAGAGTTTCTAATATCGATTTTAGGTGTCTGGCACCCAAGTCCTTTTAAGGCGAACTTCTAACTT